GAGACGCTTCTGAAAAAAATATAACCTTCTGAATGGAGGGGTTTGGATTGCAACGTAATTGCTACAAGGTTTAGTTTTTCAGATTATAAGGTAAGGAAAATTGAGAGATCGAAAAAATCTTGGTGGGTTTCTGAAAGTAGAAATCTTTGATTATTAAATGTATTGGTTTACGCAAAAATTTGGAAATTCCTTCTATTTAATGAATAAAACTTCATGTTGCCTCGATTCCCTCCTCTGAGCGAGACAAAGCGCGTCCACTTCTCCATGTCGGTGACTGCCCACACATCAATGATGAGCATTAAATTATGTGAAAGACATAATAGTTAAAAAAAGGGGGGTGCGGTCGTGGGTCGTAAAAATTTAGGAATTTGCGCAACGCAGGGTTGACCCTGTCTATACGTGGCGAGTGATTAGATAGGTGAGAGAGCGTAGTGTTGAAGAGGGCACAGCGATGAGAGTCGCATCAATGCTCAAATCAACGGGCAAGGAAGGGGTCCCATTTCTCGGGTTCTGGGCCGTTTCTCATGGTTCTTCCTTCTTTCGTGTACCACTCACCATCCCTAGTTAATTTGAAATGGGTTGCTTTCCAGCGTGAATTCGTCCTTTAAACCTGCAATGGCTGTGGATTATGCAAGCCCAACGATCTTACTTGAAGGCTCATGTTACCATTGAACATGTACAAAAATAACTTCAACGACTATTATGAAATGAAGGTCTCAGGACATTTTCACAGTAGGTATCGTAAATTTGTACATCGCAAAACAACGCGAAATTCGATTGTGACGTCACACCTCGACCATCCTCCATATTTGATTCACATGAGTCCGTTCTTGGAACCATAAATTGCACAAAAAAGATGCATAATAATTACTGCCCTACATCATCAAAGTTCCTTGTTTTTTCATTTTTCTTTAGCTGAATCTATCGCGATTTTAGATATCGAATATCCAACGATCTGTGATCAATTTGTCATATTTACATTACATGCAGCAGCTGAAATATGCATGTGAAGTGCTGTGCGACACCAAAATGTCCCTGTATCATTGTCAAAAATCGAAGCATCACAGCATCACATTAATACGAGGGGAATGGAGCAGTTAGATATCTCGCGAAATTCTTTTTGTGGTGACCAAATGTCCTCACCATTAAAAAATTTTCAGACAATCAAATGCGAGTGCGACTTCTGCCACAGACAGGTGCACGGCGTATACCCGAGCAGGCGTTTTCCCATAAAAACGCCTTCTCTGTCAGCGGCCGTGAGCAGACAAACTTCCTGAAGAGAATTTCGATGCTTTCAAATCAAATCTAAGCGGAACAAAGTGTAGCGAATTTGCTGAATTGAATTCTAGAGACCCCTTAGGAAAATTGAGGCAGAAGAAAGAATTTCAGGAAAATTTCACACTTTTATGAAGTACTCTTCGAGTAGATTCTAACAGTCTTTACCGCTTCTCATCACATTAATTTGAAGGAAGTTATGGGCCTTTGAAGACTGCATAGTCGCGGTCCAGGAAAATGGCTTGAAAAAAATCAAGGTGGAAAAACGGAACAACGGGACTATTTTTTGAGCGAGTGATTATTTCAAAAAGTACTTATTAAGCTCTAATCTTCTAGTTTCTAATTAGCCTTAGACATCTGCAAAAAGTTGATTATGAAGAAAGTTATGAACGTTTGAATGTCGAAAACTCGCGCCTTCTCAAAAATCGGACCACAAACCCCCAAAAACGGAACAACGGGACTATTTTTTGAGAGAGTGATCGTTGGAAAAAGAGGTGCTTGTTTGAAAGCGCTAATCTTCTAGTTTCTAATTAGCCTTAGACATCTGCAAAAAGTTGATATGAAGAAAGTTATGAATGTTTGAATGTCGAAAACTCGCGTGTGCACAAAAAACGGAACAACGGGACGATTTTTTGAAATATTGAACATCCGCAACATTTCAAATACTTTTTAGGAAGAAAAACTATTTGAATTTTTAAAATTTTGGTGTCCGGTTTCATGAGACCGCTTCTGAAAAAAATATAACCTTCTGAATGGAGGGGTTTGGATTGCAACGTAATTGCTACAAGGTTTAGTTTTTCAGATTATAACTATTCGTCGTTCGATCGAAATCCTACTGTTATATGTTTAGATAATCTTTACGCATTGAACATTGCTGAAATTATTTTGGGACAGTTATATCTTGACTTGCATTATAAAATCCGCGGATAAGAGGCTAGGCGGCGGCGTCCACAATATCGCGTCCGTTCCAAGCGAGCGAGAAGTAGAAAAGGGGTGCCGTCGTGAATGTCTTAAGTAGTAAATTTATGAAACCTCCTAAAATCTGTGGGCAGGGTACAACACAATTTGTTGCACTGCGCGATATCGTACCTAAATCTGGATTGCGGCCGCTTTGTGGGTGTGGATAAGCGCAAAGGAGTTTAGCATCGTGGGTTGAGCCATGTTGCGCTGCCCCACACAGGGAGACAAGCCTCAATGAAGCCGGCCTTTGCTTATTAGACGTTTTTCTCCCTCGATGATCGAACACTCCTAAAATCCCAAGGAGAACAACTTGGTAAGCACTATTCGAAGCTAGAAAAAAAGTCATGCCAACTTGCTCATCGAGTATACCGCATTCAAAGCTTTGAAAAAGCTATAAGAAAATGTTTTAGGACAAAGCTGAGCTAAGCATTGGATAGAGCAGGAAAAGCTCTTCAAAATGGTATCATACCAATTGCAGTTTTCTAGATTTCAAGGAAATGAAGCATCCAAATGTGGAGTGTCAGAAAACGACAGAACTTTGTGAAACACCTAATAGTTGTCGCCCAAAATTCATGGATATGAGGCAAGGCGGCCGTGCTCGCAAAACCGCTTAAAGTATTGAGAGGATCACTTCTTCGTGAATAATGAGTACCTCACCTCTCAAGATACATAACTATCGCGAGAGAGTAAGCCAGTTTCGCGTATGTTGTCGATCCAATTGGGAAAAGATCAGCTTCTAGGCCGGCTCCTATGACTTTTTCTCTTCACAACACAAATTGGCACAGAGAAGCGTTTCGAGAAAGAGCGATAGGCACGAAGACGCAACAGGGAAACAAATTGAACGTAGTCAGTTCGGCTGCATGTTCTGGAAAGGACTCGATTTTCGTTTGTTCAACGTTTCCTCTTGAGAAAAAGTACACAGCTCTTTTCTCGTCACTGGTTGTTTAGGGAGCCTTTTAAAAACATCTCAAACAGCATTTATTCAGCAACCAAGTTTGAAAGGAGGTTCTATTTCCAGTAGAACTAAAGGCATGATGTCCCTGTATTGTGAGGCCCACGTGCTACTTAGCCCTCGAATGATACTCCAGGCAAAGTGAATACTGTGATTGTGCTTAAAAACTTCAGCTAGGATATAGCTTCCCACGTTTTCTGATGAGGCTTGGTTCACATACCAATGAACACGCCATCTAGGGCTTGAAATATTATTCTAGACCTGTTGGCCTCATAGACTCGTGTTCTGCACTATTTTTTTCCTTTATGTTTCAATTTTTCATACGTGAGAATCACAAAGTTATCAGTGCAATAGCGAGTAGAGAAACACTAGCAAAGCAGGTCACCGACAAGGCTGATGTGAGCGATAGAGATGTATTTAAAGTGCGAGAAAGCAGCCTGAGGCAATGACCGCCTTTCTTTGCTGAGGAGCAAGTGGTGGAATAGAGTTATAGGTCTATCTACTGTGTTCTGACGCAACATAGATGAACACAACTTTCTGAACTCCTTTTCTCAACTTTTTCTCACTATATGGAATTTCCCTGGTTGTCCTGGAAGAGTGCTCAAGGTTTTATTCATGAAAACATCCACTTTTTACTCTATACGTAGCGGTACTCCAACTTTGTCGAAGTTCTGTGCTTCCCACTGTTATAAGTTATCACAGGTACAAGGCTCGAATTAGATGTGAGCACAGTGTTGACATCATCCTCTGAGCAGAATCTGAAAATAATGCCTGAAGTCGTACTATATACGATTTTATATTGTCATGAGTTTGTACCTGTAACCAGTGCGGCGTTGATCTGGATGTGTTTTGATTTCTACACCAGCATAAATGCATCCATCGACGGTTACATTAGTAGGAAGCTTCACAATTTTCACCTCTACCTTTTCACCGGCTGGTGCCTTAATTTGCACTCTTAAAAACCACTGCATACAACTCAAGAGCTCACGAACTTTAATCCAATAATTGCATCTCTTGAAGCCATCTCGCTCTTCACTGGCTTTCTCACCATCTAGCTTGTTCTCGAGAAGCGTCCATTCAGTGGTCGCACTGAGGGTCTCCCCGCATCCTGTTGGCTAAACTAGTTATGTTGAGAAAGTTGCAGGTTTTATCTACAAAATGGCATTCACCCTTTCGTCGCAAAACTGCCCACCGTATCCACTCGGACAAATACATTTGGAGCAATCACGAGGATGAGCGAATCCGCCATTCTGGCATGGTGTGCTCTCACCTTTGCATATATCTGAAGCAATGACTCCTAGCGGAGCAATGAGGCTCGCGAATTGCATTCAAAATGTAACTTACCAGTGCAATTGTAGTACATGTTTATTGCAAGCAGGTCGTTGAACGATATACCGTCGCTGTGAGTCAAGTCATAGTTATCACCAGATCCCTTCATCTAAATTGCAAATTTGGAAGACTTCAGAGAGCCTCTTACGATATTAAGCTGCTTTCGCGTCATTCACAACTTATACATTGCTATCTTCTTCTTCAGCCGTGAGGAGTAGAACTCGATCGTGCATCGAATACGCATTGTCGAGCCCAAGGGTATGACCCAATAGGTTAGAAGCACCTCCGATCTGAAACAGACGTGAGCAACTAATTCATACCTAAGCTACTAGAACCTGCGGCATTTCTTCCTATCGGACACATATCCGCTCGTGCTCCTATGAATAACTTTTCCCTGTGTGATACTTCTTCAAATCAATACCGTTGCACAGTCACGGTGGAATGATGTGAATTGGAGACCTCCCTGTCTACCATCTTGCGACCAGCAGCTGGATCCATTGAACACAATTAGGATATCTCCGACTGAAATTTTTCCACTAGAATCAACACTTTCAACTAATGCCTCTTACCCTCTTCGTCATCTTCTTCTATTAGGTCAATGCATGTGTCGTCCATCCATAACTGCGCTGCTTTTTTGAAAACTAATCTGGCCTCCTCAGCTGAAAACATACAGAATGAGAAATTCTTATTGATCTCCTGATCATGTGAAACAACTGCGAAGAAACTGACATAAAGGTTCTTCCAATCTATAGGGAACTTTGTTGTGGCCATCTTTTATCAGGATATGACTCATCGGAATTGAGCCATCTGAGAAGGTTCCTACTGAAGTCCGCAGTTTTCTGGTCTTGCTGGCTCCTTAATATGATGAGTAATTTGCACTGAGTGAGATTTGAGTCTTCAAACAGCTGCTTTTTATCAAAGTTTTTTTTCTAGAAATCATCATGTTTAAAACGTCTCAGTCCCATACCTAACAGGCTGGAAGGGGGCGCTCAAGCACGCTCCAAGTAGAAAGAGCATCAGAGTCATCTTCTTACAGAGAAAAGCAGGGAAATCCTGAGCGAAGGCCGAAAATGAGCTAATCGGGACCTTCGAAGGTATGTGGCAACCTCCTTCTTCACCTGCTTAAATGCCACTTCTCGATTTGAAAGTTGACATAATGTATTGCTTTCGAAGTCGAGACACGGACGCAGACAGATGAAAAAATAGAATTTCACCTGCTCCTTTTGTACATATGGCACTGGGGTGTGCTTGGAGTACATTTCTAACAATTCACAGATCAAGCACAATTTCTAATAATTTGCAAAATTTTAGCTAGATGAGTGAAAAGCTTGTAACAAACGGTGTAAACTCAAATTATCAAAATTCGAACAGCTCATCTAGCAAAATTTGGTGCCATTAACACATTCACGCCGGCGGCAGCCCATATGGCTTGCCAACAATTGTGCTCCGGGACGATGGCAGCCCATATGGGCTGCCAGCTGCTGATAATCGCTTGCCAGGCGCTAGGAATGGAAAGATAGGTGGGTAAATCTCGTAATCGTTTAAAATGCTTTTAAATTCCTTCACGGGGAAGTGAATAAATGCTCTCTTTTCGTTACTCGGGGAGGGACAAAGACAGTCGAGGCAGTGCTTGAGAGTCTAAAGAAATCCGAGTCTTAATGCGTGAGGCTGTTTTGTATGAAGGGAGCGGGGAAAAGGGTTGTTCTCAGAATGCTTGCTTGGCTCCTATCTATAACGCTACAAAATCTTGATCATAACCCTTTATTAGAGATTGAACTACTGAGAACTTTTTTCTGTACTCCGGACTGTAGGGTATAGACAAACGTCTCCTATAGAAGTAATTTCCTTTTTACATGGATGCGTTTGAAAATCTTCCCCACGAGAGCACCACTGGTTTGATGTTGAGCGAGTTTTCCTTTCAGTGGAACGGGAAGCGCTGAGTGCTGGCTATTGGAGAGGTTGTGTAGAACCCTCCCCCATATTGCGGAGCACCTCCAGAAGAAATTTTTGAGAATAGAAACGCTTTTCCGAAAATGTGCAGCTGCTTGGAAATAAACCACCGCGCATTCGAAGGTGTCTGTTTGGCCTCTGAAACAGACACCTACAAATGCTAAGGCTGCTGAATGCGTCTCTTAAGACATTGGACACAGCCTGTCACCCAAGTCATCCCTTTTTCTTGCACTTGCGAGACTTATTCTCAAATTGTTTATAGTCGCTCCATTGATGACACCTTACATAACTGTGAATAACATGGTTTGCAGTATGGTCTAACATGCTCCAGTTCAGCAGAGGTTTCCTTAGCGCTACGAAGTGGCAGCTCGGTTCATTCGTTTTCTGGGCTGTTATCATGACAGGCGTAATAACAAGATAGAAGTAAATACAAACCATGCGGATGGGAAAATGATGTTTCTACAGGCATAACCGCGTCAAAAACGTTTTTGACGTCCATCACACAGAAAAATGGTAAAATTTTCTTTTTCGAATTAGCTGACCAGTGGATGTTAGGGTATGATTATGTTTATTACGGGTTTGCCTTTAAGGCAAACGCCAGTAAAAACAAAAATAACAAACCAGTAAAAACAAAAATAACAACCCATTCACGAACAGCACAAAAACGAACACCCTCGAGTGACTAAATGAAATCCATAAAAACTGAGAACATCAAGGGAAAAAAAAAAAATAGACAGAAATATGGATCAGGAACGTAAACATGGGAAGGGAAGCGTTAATCTCAAGGAACTACAAAATTTCATATGCAGATAACACTGCATCGACCTTACGCTTAAATCCATCCAGGGAACCAGGAATAGTCATGTTTTTAGTTACCTTTTTGTAAAGGCTGCCGGCCCTGAATGTGAAACTTTTGGCTCTTATGCTGGTTTTAGGCCCAGATAAAATTATTTTTGTACGACCTCCTCTGGTTCGAGATTGTGCCATTTTATAAATATCAAAAGAACCAAACTCATTACGCTGATATAGAAGCTTGTAAACCATGCATACATCAAATACTCTGCGACGTGATTCAAGTGTAGAGAGTTCCAGGTATTTATTACGGATGGACGCTTTTGGAATCCTAGAATACAAGAAAGACTTACTCCGAAACAGAATTTTTCGCGTGAAATTGTTTTGTATCTTCTCGAGTGCCTCAACATCCTTTCTCTTGGTGGGGTAGAACACAGCAGCGCCTGTCTCCACCACGGGACGAACGTAAGTTTTATAAGCTTTGAGAAGGATAGCCTTATTTGTAGATGATAGACCCTTTGAAAATATGCGACGTGCGCAATAGAGCTAGTTTACACCGAATTTGAATGTGCTTGGAGAAATCAAGAGTATTGGTGTAGTGGAAGCCCAGATCTCTTACACAGTTGACAGGTGCAATGGTAACCCCGTCAACAATATAAGGGATAGGAGGTACCTCCGGATTGTGGCCGATCGTCATGCAACTAGTTTTGTGTGGAGCCAAGGGTAGTTGCCATCGCTTTGCCCAGTCACTCAACAAAGTAATAGCCGATTGTAACCGCTCTCTATCTTTAGGTTCAGTGATGGCTTTATAGATTTTAACATCATCAGCATACATTTTAGTTGTAACGCTCAAACCAGCGAACAAAAACTAGGTATCTCAGCTGTGTGGTACAAATATGAAGTACGGTTGGAGAATACCTCCTTGCGGTACTCCGCTCACCACTTCCCTACAGAGTAAGCTTGGCCTACACGGACCTGGAAGGTACGACCAGAAAGGAAATTGGAGATCCATTTAACGAGAACTGGATGAAATCGCAACACCTCTAGCTTATGAAGCAACTTTTTTGTGGGACACTCTGTCGAACGCTTTAGCAAAGTCAAAATATATTACGTCACAGCTGTGCTTGTTGTCAATCGCTATGGTCCAATCTTCAAGACTTTCGATCATATTCGTTTCCACCGATCGCCCTGGGATGAAACCATGCTGTTCTCGAGGGATGATTTTCATGTCAGCAGCATAGCTTAGAATACGCGCGCTTTACCGTCTTCTCAAATAGTCTGCAAAACAGAGACGTTATACTGACAGGTCGATAATTCGCAGGGTCCGATGCAGGCTCCTTCTTGAGAACAGGAGTGACAAAAGAGTGTTTCCAGCGATCAGGTACTTCACCACTCATCAAGGATTGGTTGAAAATGTACGCAAGTGGTCCGCAGATAACACCAGCCACTTTTTGGATGAAAGTAAGCGGAACGAAATCGGGAGTGACTGAGGAGGACTTAGGCCAATTCATAATCCGCTCATAAAGTTGTTCGGCATAAAACCATGGCAGCTCCTCCATAGATGATGGTAGTGACGACGAAAAATAAGGGATTCTCGCATCGTCATTAGAAAAAGAATTCGCAAAATGACCAGCAAGCATGTTAGCTTTGTCTTGCGCATTACATGCTATACGGTCTCCACACTTCAAAAACCCAATGCATCGTCTATCCCGTATTTTACTATTTAGGTACCTATAAAAATTTCCACTACGGCCAGACTCCACAATTCTCTTTTCCACATTGCTGAAAAACTTTCTGAGACGAGCAAAGAACAATTTTGTAAACTCCTTGTATTTGGACCAGTCCCCAGTTCGTCTTGCTTCATAAAAAAGACACTCTCGATGTTCACTCATGCTCCTTAAATTCCGTGGTAGGGTGATGGACTTGAAAGAAGTCACTCGTTCCCAAGGAACATAGTAGTCAATGGCTGCGTGTAACACGGACAGTAAGAGCTCATACTTCTCGTTGACACTCCCGCATCTTTTCCAGAAGATCGACCCAGTGAATGCGAGACAGATCCCGACGTAGAGCATTAAAGTTACATGCAGAGTATACTCGCCGATAAGTAGGCACAGCACAGCATTCATACCCAGCGACTTCAAAGACAATGCTGCTATGATCACTATACCCAACAGGAGAAAGGATTCTTAGGTTTCTGACCATACCCAGCTTGCTACAGAAAACCAGATCCAGGATATTGCCTAACCTAGTCGGTACATTGACATGCTGAGTTAGGTTGTGACTATGAATTAACTCGTGAAAAGACGATAGGGTTGAACGTTCCGAGTCAGAAGTAAGCCTTACATCCATATCGTACAACCCTGGCATGTTAAAGTCACCTACGATCACGGTAGGAAGTTCACAAGCAATGAGATCGCTGAGGACTTTGATCAATTGATTAGTTTTCATGACTATAGATTCTTTTGATCGGTAATTCATCCACTTGACCTCGATATAATTCTAGCATTCCAATTATTGATGTTCACCGGTTTGGGTGTCATTCGTTTTTGTATAAGTGTCTTCAGAAGCCACGAACATCACTTTTTCGACACCGAATGTTCTAGTTGCATGTATCTATTGCTTTAAACCGAATTTAAGCTTGAAATAAAAATGTTCGAATGCGCTAGCCTTCTGCTATGATATGCCGTTTCAGTTGGTACGTTTGCTAAGAATGCTGGAGCTCTGGAGGCGATGAACTGAAGGAAGGTCCTTTTACATTGGGTTGTGTTTTGAAGCATTTCTCTTTGAGGAGCACGGCCCTGGAAAGGTAAAAGTGATTTAGACCAGAGGTCTGCTGAGTCAGATGTTTGCAGCATCACTCCGTATCCCAGCTGGTCCAACTTGTGCAGGGCTGGCTATGCGATGTGCGTCCAAGACCCTTTCAAGGATTGCCCTTTCCTTTATAATGAGGAACGCTTGACCCATCTCTTGGAGTTTTTGGTGGATTCTCACGTAATGTTGAGGTTGCTCTCCCACTTCAAAAGTTCCACCTAATACTAAGAAAAAACACGGTCATTTATGCGCTGACTTAATGAAAGCTGCCTAAACTTCTCTGCACAGTTTGAGATGGTGGTGCAAAGTTTGTAGAGCGGGATCGCTGTCGAGCTATTCAGCCAAGCCTCGTGGTCTTAAGAAAAGAACCTCTTCATTGTTTGTCGCAATTCGGTAGAAAAGCGAATCGTAAAAATTGATGAATCGTATAACTTCGTATAATGTATCGCAGCATGCACTATCAATTGTTGAGACTTACAGCCAATTCCGCTTATACGTGTGGCTTTTACAACATTATACGTCCAGATTGGCAGGACTCCAATGGTAACGGGCCGGAATGTCTTCCAATCAAACTTTGGCTATTCGGTCGGCCAAGTTCGGATATCGGACACAGTATATATAGACAATTCTCTCGCGGTTTGTTGCAAGAGTTTTAACTTGTTTGTGGCACATTTATTGAAATCTAAACAATGTGGCATCGTTAAAAGTCACTTATCCCATGACTCGATCATCAATTTTTCGTCGCACAGGATGCCGTGTTGATGAATGTTTTACGGCAGAATATTCCTTAGGTGTTCCCCCGTAACAGAAGCAGGCCCTCCTTCACTGCCCCACCGTCTTCAGAATATGACGTCATCTGCCGTCACCGTCGAGCTCAACGAGGCTTACCGTAATCGCTCCGGCCTGAAGCTGCTACATAATTTCTTCAATGGATTAACTGGTGAATAGCTTCCCAGAGACATAGCTGTGACTGTGCTCTTTTGACCAGCGTTTCAGGGACGTCGTAATGGTCTATGGTACCTCGACGACCTCGTTGAGCTCGTACCGTGAACCATGTTTCCGTGGGAAAATCTTCTGATGTCGTCGGTGTAGAAGGCTGTCATGTAACTTTTTTGATAGATTAGAATGTGCTCTTCAATATTCAGTTGGGCTCATTTGGTTTGGTTCCGCAGTGTGTAATTAATTCCGTTGCGAAGGTGAAGGGAAGTGACTATTTTTGTCCCCTCCCCCCTGCACATTCAGGTTAGGTGCAGGCAAGATACTTGGTTTTTTGAAGCAGAAACTCTCATCGAATGTGTTTGTCTTCAGAGACGCTCCTCAAAAATTAGGTTGGAGATTTCGAAGCACATTCCGTCTGCTAATATCTTCAATAATCCCTCTTATTCAGTGGAGGGTAATGGTGAATTCATTGGGTCGGTCAGAAACTTTCTCGTACTGAATGAATCATGAATCGACCCGTATTATCAGCGTAATCCGGTCTATACCGTGTCGTGGGGTGTGCATGCTGCGTGTGAGAGTCTAAATCACAACACCCTTATTGACGGGTTGCGCCAAGTAAGGTAGCAGCCTAATCATAGCTATCCCAATCTGATTGGGAACTCAATGGAACTATGTATACAGTACCGATCAAGGGTTTGGAACTTTTTTCTTGTTTTTAATTTAGCACACCCACCTGAAAACGATGTTGACTTATAATGCACAAAATCAAAGGCAGAATTTATGGTGTGTGTTATAATTTCTCAACATCGAGAACCGCATTTGAAAATACGGCCTTTCTCCAAAAATGGCGCGTAAAAAAATTGGAAACTTCACAATCCCAGAGTTACTTCAGTAAAACAGCTCTCAAGTCCTTAAAGTGGTACGCTGTAATTTTTGGCCTTTTAAAGGAGAATTCTACGATAAGAACGAAGCTGGAAGAAGAAGGGATGTTTACTTGGTGGAGAGACAGGCGCACCTCCTAAGGCAGCGGACCAACACACAGTTCGCATCGAAGGATATGCCCGGGATCTACCATGACCTTTCCTTCGGTTGTTCAACTCAGCTAGACTTCGAATCTTCACTGGGTTGCTGCTTTTCTAGATTCAGGAAAGGAGCACTCGGGAGGTTTGTGAGGAGCGCATCATTGTCGTGACAGAAAACTCAAATTTTCGGACTAGCTCTGACTATATAAAGGAAGCGTCATATTCCTTAGATTTGCCTAGTGCTTAGCCCAGCCCACATTTGTAGATTCAAATTGTAGATCTGTGAAATCGCCAAGGGTTGGACAAATCTCCATCCACAACAACCTTACACTCTTTCTGACTATTGGAATCTGATGCCTAAAATCAGGTTTTCCGATGACTATACACCAAAATGTCTACATAGTGATCACAAAGGGACAAAATAACCTCGTCGCCGAGCAAGAGTTTTACCTGTCGCCTTTGACCCAGGCTAGCCGTAACTTTGCCCAAGCTGTTCGGGCCTTACTTCGTTTTCGCCCCAGACGGGACTAGAACCCGCACCTCTCGCTTTCCGGGCAAGTGCGCTACCAGTTACGCTACCGGGGCACCATTTCATTCCAACTCAGCTTTTCATGGTATACGTACCATAGCTTTCAGCACTTACACAGCTTGTCAGCAGCCCACGTAGCCGGTTAGCCGACATCAGCAATAACCGCGAAACTGAAAGCTTTAGCAACGAATTTCGAAAGCCCAACAAAGGCTCCATTTCGGAGCATCTTCCGTGATCCTAGCCAGATCTCGGCCAATATTGGACAGCTCTTTTGCCCAATGTTGACCTTCAACTTTTTTCGATTGAGAGGAACTAGAAAAAGTCGTTTCTTGGTCGAAGATGTCGAGATGATTGTACTTTTCAGTGAAAAACTTGGCGGCAAGCAGAAAACATGAAACGCGGAAGATTTCAGCCGACGTTAGCACAGGTGTCCTCCTGCTGCTGGTGATGTTGTCAACGATTGTGAAAATGATGTTTCATCTGTACTTGTAACAACTCAGTCTCTACCAAAATTTCACTACAGTTGTGCAACTGCAGATTTGCTCGAGGTTTTTGGTGAATGGTTACGCCCTAATTCAGGAATAAAATTGGCTTATTATCGTAAACCTTTTTCTCCGTAATTATGCTGGTAACCTTAAACGGTCGGCGTGAGCTTCGTCGTCTTTTCTCCGTAGCGATTTGATTACGGGAAAAAAGGCGGAGTTAGGTTGATCGCGTAGGGGTAGCAAGTTAGTAAAGCGGACAACGCTACAGCTTCTGGGCGTTTTACCTGTCAAGTAAATTGGCTAGATTTTACACAATTCATATAATGTACCATTGCCACTCAATACTATTCTGAGCTGGAAGGGCATTCGTACTGAGTTGATAAATGGAACCGTATTCTTCAACAATCGATAGGTTCTGACACAGCATTACAATTGTTAGGTATGTGCTTCACACAGAACACGAAAACTTGAATGTTTGAGTGACTTGCATCAGTGGAAAGATTGGAGTGAGCTCTGTTCGAGGGCTGTAAACGCTGTGGATTTCTGGCTCTGCCACAAATGAACATTTCGTTGAATGAGCTCCCAATCTCATGGTGTGTGAAATGTGCATGTACAGAGGAAGGGGGGGGGGGGAACAGAAAAAAGGCATTTCACCTAGGCAAATAAAGACAAATGTACTCCGAATAATATTATCCAACTTCCAGCTCTTTTGCAAGTTCTTCTTTCTGTTGTGTGTTCAAAGCGAAATTTTGCTGCATCGCTTCCTGTTGTTCTTCCAAAGTTTTCACGAATTTGAGCATGCTAATGTTTGAAGCCTGTGGATTTTTGAAGCATTAGGTAAGGTGAATTTGAGTGTTTCAATTATGTTTTTTATACCTCATAAATACGATTTGCAAGCCTTTTTAAATTGTCGACCTTTTTTTCATTTATGTGGTACTTGGAGGGCACAGCTATGTCAGACCTTTCAAAGGCGGCGAGATTGGTGCTGGTGCTCACGCTCGTTGCCGCAAACAGTGCAAGTACAAGAACACTCATTGCACAGTTGAAAAATGGAAAACGGTTCAGTGAAGAAGCCGGCCTTGAAAAATACGGGACGATATGGCTGTTTCACTCTTCTCGTATTTATATCCTATTACTGGATCACGTTGACATAGCGATGTTTTTTCTATGTCTAGGCGTGTACACGAACGATGTACATAGAAGAATCCATTCCATCTGCAGTTTTCGCATTGCACCATACAGCGCGAAAATCACTCAATAATCCATAGAATTGTAAAATGTGAAGGCGCAACTTCACCATTTCGAAGTAGAGCAGCGGATAATATTTTACGAAATTTGTAACTGGCATGCAGTTATTTTTTTTTCGTGGCGCTCTGAAAAAAATTAGTTCCATTGCAAAAATGGAGGAATCTAAAGGAATTCAGGAAACATTGAGCTGAAAATTTCTAAAGTGAAATAATGAGCTTTTCAACAGTATCGATGGCCCAGGATAAGCCAAGGAAGTTGGGAATACCAGTGTAATGCTCCAAGAAGGAACTATCATCACAACGATTAGGAGAAGTCAAGGAGCAAGTTTCTTGTTCACCGAATGAATACTGCCGTCCACCGTCAGCAGAAAAAAAATTCGAAGCATTCAGGAAGGGCATCTAGGTATTAGATAGAAATTATTGAGCATGTCTATGTTCCCAGCAAATATCAAGCACCACCAGTGATTGTATTTATTGTATATGTATTTTATTGTATATTTGTACTGTATTTCTGCTTTTTTCGTTGCAGTTCTGTTACCCCCATTAAAATCCAATCGAGTGTTCTCGTTGACAAACAAAGCATCCCTGCTATAAAGCTGTGTTGGTCACACCATCTTTCTAAAGCTGTGCTTTTTTTCAACCTCATCGAGTGCATTTTGCACGCATTTTGCACAGCGCTTTTCCAAAGAATTCGAATGGATGTACGAAGCATGTAGAATATTCCAGAAGATCAAAAGAAAAACTGTTGATAAAGTGCAACCAATGGGAGACTCGATTGAGGAAATCAACAGAAGGAGTGGAGTAGCAGACGCACTGTTCCAAGGAGATATAATCC